AGATGAGCTGCAGTTGCAAGGCCTAATTTTGAGGTTACCAACTCCCATTCTCAGCATGTAACATTACAACATATTTTAACCATCAATGACATATGTCCTAATATATGCAACCACCGACAAAATAGCTTCTCATAACTAACATCACTTGAGTAAACAGAAAGATGCTCTTGGCAAACTACCTGATATCGCAGGTTTGCTGATGTTCCAAGGAAGCAACTATAAACAGTTGCTGCTTTCCAGATCGGAGTTCTTTTGCGCCCCACTTCCATACTTGCAGAAGGTTTAATAATCTGACGGGCACCATACAAGACATCTGAAGCAACTCCAGCTCCAATACTAGAAATGAATCCGACGCCAGCAAGTTTTAGACCACCCATAAGCACCGATGCAAACCTCTGGTTAATGTTCCAATACTGCCCAACAATACCCTTTTGAAATGCATTATCTGGCACTGATCCTAAAATTCCTTTCAGAAGCTCCATACTCTCACCAGAGCCATCGTCGGCAAAAGATAAGAGCGAAATTGTAGGTGCAGGAAGCCACACTGTGAAGAAGTCAACAACAGAACCCCTAATTGTATCAGTGAGAACATAGTCGATCTCTTCGAAAAACCGTCCTTTTCGTTTTTCATATTGTGCTAGAAGAGTGGTAGTTATTGATATACCCTCTTCAATAGCTAATCTATGCAGAAACTTGGGATCTGCTAGCAACCTTTCACGGAAACCCTGCAGAAAATGGCCAGCTTTAAGTTTCAACAATTTAACCATGTACTAAGCGACATTTTTAATTGGCATTTCTAAAAGGGGAAAGAGTGAGAGATAAAGACTACAGGAGCTGCTTACTTGGAAACGGTGAATCAGTTCTGCCATAACAGGGTATTTCTCAAGGTCAAAAAAGTTCTGCAATATCTCAGGAGAAACTACACCAAGATCTATTCCTTTCTGAAGATCCTGTCATAGAATACAGGAAGTTCCGTCAGCTCCAATGTAAGAAAATATGAGTACTTATCATAGCAAGATAGACTTGAAAAGGAGTTATCATAAGTTCATAACAATATTTTCTTGTTCTACAGTTCATGTATAACAACAAGTACTGATTACATTTTCCTTTAGACTAATAACTACTCCCAAGATGTTACAGGAAGCAGGTAATACATATACCATCAAGAGCACTCAACTTATACTGAGAAAGAGTGAGTGATAACCTGAGGTAAAGCTTCACGTCTCCTGCCAGCAGCATTCATAACTCTAGCAATTTCAGCACGATCAAAGCAATTCCGACTGCATGGCTTGGCAGCAGAGTACCATAAGAAATCAGCTACAGGGATTTCACCTTCTCTCCTTATACTTTGTCTCTCAGGATCAAGGAGTATCACAACTTGTTTTTTCTTTTGCATCTTTTTAGATATCCTAGCGGGAACACCAATTCCTCGTGGTCCATACATAACATGACTCGCACCAGTTACAACAACGAGCATCCCTGAAGGATCTCCATTAGTAATTTCTTTCATTATTGTCTGGGACATGGTATAATCATCAACTACTCTTGCCTGTGCTGATAAATATGAGCTTGGGCCAAAAGGGGAACCACGAGTTGATGAAATTTTGTCTATCAATGATCGGCCTGAGATGGATGTAAAACCAGAAATGAAGCCTGAGCCAGCTGGAGGAGCATAAAGCTTTCTTTGAGCTTTTGAAAGGCCTCTAATTCCTTCCGCTTGCACAGTTCTTACCACCTAGTCAAGAAAAAAGCACTAGATAATTTTCACACAGTAATTTAGGGTAAGCTAAGCTTACATATTACATTTACATATCAAAGATGCTTCATATCAGAGATTTACTAGGAAGGGTTGAAAAGGCATGTAGCAGAGGTGCTTAAGCAGGCAAAGACATTACAATACATGGTACCAAAAAAAAAAAGCTTTCCCTTTTGAAACTGCAAATCAATTTTAAATTAGTACAATTTTAGAATGTTACGAGTCCGAAGTTCAGAAGTATAAACGAACAAGATTCCTTATGACTCCAATATGCCTGAATCACATGTGAGAATCAATTACTAATTACCTCAAGTGGAGTTCCACAGGCAACAAGCTTTATTCCATTATCACGGCAGTAATTCAAAAGTGGTTCATACTCCTGCCATCGCTCTGGTGCCCAGTGAGATGTATAAAGTCTTAAGCTATTGCCATCAATTCTGCATAATGCAAAGAATTGTTACAAGTTCATCCACATGAAGTATTGGAAGGCTTTCTACACCAAAGATTGAACAAATATAGGCAAAAGGTAAAACCAACATTATAGGACTTTGGTTGAGCATAACCTGCGTGGAACCTATATGGTCGAAAACTCAAAATACTAGTAGTCTAGTAGATACAGATAATTACAGCAAACCATCGAGGATGGAACTTAGCAGTTTATTGGGAGCAGGGTCAAACTACCAGTTTTATATATACAGCTTAGAAGACAAATCTGTTTAGTTATCCTAGTAGAGCCACGGTTTTGCCTCTTGCCATAAGCCATTTTCCGACTTCTCTACATCTATGGATATCAAACTTGCAGCTGCAACATCACAGCGAGAAATTCAATATGTACTGTTGCTCAACTATACTTGTCACAACTAGCAAAGTGGTAAGATTCGTTGTGTTAACACAAACTGCAACTACCTGCCATCCATGAACTGGTTGAGCTGCTCCTGGAGGTCGCAGGGAAAGGCCTCGAGCGCGAGGGAGATGCTCCTCCCGGCCTCCGCGCAGGCGGCCGCGAGCTTCCTAACGATCTCGAGCTCGAGCACCCTGTCGTCGCGGTCGGGCACGAGCTCGGCCTCGCCGAGGTACACCACCCGGGCCGCCATCAGCTTCTCCCACACCCTCCGCCGCGCGTCCTTCCCCACGGCCTGGGGCTCCCCGATGACCGTGGCGTCGTAGACCCTCGACAGCGCCGGCTCCTCCGCTGGAGGCGGAGGCGAGGCCGGAGCGGCGGGCGCCTGCGCCGGCGGCGGTGGGGCAGGCTTGTCATCGCCTGCCGCGGCGGAGGCGGCGAGGGGAAGGGACTGGAGGACGGTGGACGCCGCGACTAGCGAGGGGACGAGGACGAGGAGGTCCCGGCGTGTGGCGGCGCAGAGGCGGCCGCGCGTGGAGGCGGAGGCAGGGGTGGGGGTGGAGGTAGCAGAGACGAGGAGCGGCGGCTTGGTGGGGAGGTGCGTTTTGAACCTGAAGGCCCCCGGGGTTCTGGATGGCGCGTGCGGCAGCATTCCCGTGCGTTGAGACGGCGGCGGGGGCGGCGAGGCGCGCCCGCGCCGGTGCCCGGTGATGGGGGTGAAATGGAGGGCTCAGAGAACACGGGGCAGCTTGTGGTGGTTCCGTGGTTGGTACTGTAGGTAATAAACTCTTCGAAATCTCGGTTGTTTTGCATCTCAGTAGTGGTTTGAACTTTGAAGCATGTTTCTGTCAAGTTTGTTACGTATCAAGTTTGTTTCTGTCGCTGAGGACAAAGAGCAATGCGCGGCCCCAGTTCCAATTGGATTTTCACCGGCAACGAAACTCTTTGCGCTGCTCGGCGGCGCAGCAAGCAGCACAGCCTCACAGGGGCTTGTTTAGATCGTAAGTTTTTTCACTTTCTTTGTCATATTAAATCTTTGAACACATGTATAGAGTATTAAATATAGATAAAAAATAACTAATTACATAGTTTGATGGTAAATTACGAGACGAATCTTTTGAACCTAGTTAGACTATGATTAGACAATAATTATCAAATACAAACGAAAGTGCTACAGTGCTAAATACTGATTCCTAACCCCACCCTAGACGAGGCCGGGGCTAGATTTTTGGGTGGATTTCTTGTGGCGACTTTTCATGGCAGAGCTGGAGCGGCCACCAGCATTCGCGGTCTCTGTTGTTCTTTCCATTTGGGGTGGGATTTCGGGCCTATGCCCTATGTGCTCGGAAAGCACGGAAGCGAGAGAGAAGTCTTCGGAAGAAGGATCAGAAGTTACAGGCCCGAAACGGAACAAAACTGGTGCCTACGTGTAGAGGATAAGCAGTGATGTTGAAGCCGATGGCCTCAAAAGGGACACCATGGTGCCACAGCAGCCACTAGCTCACGCTCATGTACAGTCAGCATTTTTCAAGACGAGTGGCTCACCTTTCTTGGATAGACGTGGCCCTCGGTTGGTGTACCGCGATTCGGATTTCGGAGACCCACCGCCGGGCCACCGTAGCATTGACTCGTCCCTCGTGTGACTATTTTGAGTTTAGGCCTTGCATTGCACGTCAACATGACCTTTCAGGCCAATTTGGAAAACAATGATTTTACAGAACATAGTTAAATTTCCTCAAAAATGGGTCAAAGAAAAGATGAGGATATGTAAAGTAAAAACGAAAACAAGTACTCCCTCCGGTTCTATAAAGCAAGTCGTTTTGAGGTTGTTTTAAGTCAAACATTTTAAACTTTGACTACAAATAACTTCTTTTGGGTTGAGTTTGAAAATATGAAAATGATGTAAGTAGATTCATTTCGAAATATAGTTTCATAAAAGTATATATTGACTATATTTTATAGCAAAAAGTTGCAGTCAAAGTTGTTTCTTAAAGACCGTGTCAATGTCCAAAACAACTTGCTTTAGAGAACCGGAGGGAGCATGTAAGCACAAGTGTGCAACACTTCATGAAGGAAAAAAAGAACTATGTGTCTGGTTATCTCGGGTGGTAGGGAATTCACCCGACTGGTTCCATGTAAATGCACAGGGAAAAAACTCACATGAAGCCCAGGCTGAGAAAAAGATGCCGCAGAAAATGGTAATACTATATTTTCTGAGAATTTTCAGGTACACAACTGGAGATACCAATACCCAGAAAAATCCATAGAAACGTGTCCCTTCGGGGATGGAGAGTGTGGCCTTGTCTCTTGTCTGCGTATAAGCCTCGCATGATTCTCAATGGTGTAGCTATGTTCACGCTGCACAATGACAGCTCAAATTCACCTGTATATGTACATCCTACTTCAACTGCTGTTTTTTGCATATCCTTTTGTTTCTTCTGCTACCTTTGTCCATATGCTAGCAAAATGATCCGAGTATGTGGCCTGAACATAGCAACAGAAAACAAAAAATCAGAGATCCAAATTTCAATAACTTCCATCATTCCATGGTTAGATTGACTAATTTCACATGCATCGTTGATGCTATTTGTTTAGGTGGGCGTTTTTGCACCCAAAAAGGAGATACAAGATAGCAAAGGTACTGTCTCTGAACAGTACATTGTGCACTCCTATATTACAGAAATTTTTCATAAATTGCAGCTAAACTGTCTGATGTTAACTTTCGGAAATTTCGTTTCTTCTCAATCGAAAGGGTTTGCAAAACTGAAATGGTCATAATGCATATCGTTTTGAGGTAAAATAAGGGCAATACATTTCATTGGTAACAATTGTGTACAGAAGACCGATTAGAACCAAGATGTTGTCTACCAATGTACAGATGAACACTAGATCTAGGTAATTCAAATGATCCCACGAGTCTTAACTCCACAGCTTTTCCAGCATATCAGCTATAAGCTGAGACTGCATTTGAAGGTTTCTAGTTCTGCTGCCTCGTTGTTTCCTCCAATACACATGGACACGCGTGCGCGCAACACATATAATAACACAAAATTCACATGACCCTTTAGTAACGAGCTAAAAATGCACGACAGACCTAGCATTTAGCACTCATGTTTTTCCTTTTGTTCAAATAGCAGGCAAATACTACTGTTAAAAAACATGGAGGTACAAAGATAGATCTACAGTAAGCAATACAGTAGATTGATTATTGAACTGATTAAATTAACCTTTTCTTTTTGTTAAAGAACTAAAGATGTACTGCAAACTGAACAACAACCCAAAACATAAACCAATTTATTGCAGGAGTTGAGAGCTTCTACCTGATCCGATACAAAGCCTTTCAGCATCTCCACCAAATCCTGGCGTCTTTCCTTGTTAAATCTTTTAATTTCATTCATGTTGTTTTCCTGCATTACCATAAAATAAAATAAAAAAGAAACGTCATATATACTCCATGTTGAACTGCAATGCAACGTTTGGGATTTAAATTTCAACAGTGGAACCTTGTTCCAACTCCCAAGTACTTGCGAAAGTTGTATCTATGATTCAAAACTCCAGACAAAACAGTGAGTTTGACTATGAGTTGAAACATAAATGCTGATGGTGCAATGCATACCAGTATTTTTGTATCACCTGAAATGGATGCAACCTTACTCTCAGGGTTGAATAGAAATCTCTAGCATTTCTAATACTTAAATGAAAGAACTTATTTCACACAAAAAAAATTGTGCCTACATGGTTTTTCTTAAAGGAATCTTGTCAACAGGATAGCATAACCTAGCATTTGAATTGCAGTAGGATGTGTTTTGGTCAATTGATAAACAGAAAATTCATTAACAATGCATGTACTCTAAAATTCTTGATACTTCCACCACAGCTCAAACATGACAATAGCTAGAATCAGACAATCTGGACTCTTGGCTGCTTAGCAACATGTCAGCTACTATCTCGTTCATTCTGGCTTCTGTGAGCTTAACTTGGAAAAATGTTAACTGGACATGGTCAAAAGAAGTGTTGGCTAATGAGAATTCCATAGCACAAACAACTATGACAAATAGATTTAGTCAGGTTGCTTCAGCGGATTATCCAAATATATAGCATTAGCTAGTGTTAGGCATCATGCTACAAAATAACCTAAAAATTATATCCCTAATGTACTGCAAACTGAATAATCTATGAACATATTTTTGGTATCCTTCCAGAATATAGATAATAATTGTGGGTCTGTTTGAGTAATAACAATATCGCAGTTGAAATTGTCACACATAATGTACACCTTCTTTGTTTTATAAGTTTGGATGAATTACCTTGATAAGTTCCAATTCTTTAAGTGCATGTGCTTTTGCATCTTCCGTGGCTCTTACTGTTTCTTTCAGTTCTTCTATCTTCTGATACCTTGATCTTTCCTGATCCATTCCTCTCGATGATACAGATTCAAGTTTTCCCGCCCGGGTATGCAAGAAATATAGTTCTGCTGACAAATTTTGCACACGAAGCAAAGCATTGGAACGAGCAATAAAAGCGTTATGAACAGAAGCCATTGTCTCCATGTACTCATGGATAATGCCCTGCAAAAGCATAGAACATAGAACATGTCAAAATAAAAAGGAAAAAACAATAATCCTAAAAGCATATGTCCAAGCAAATATTCCTTTACTCAAGTCACCCCACTTACCAGATGTTTTACAATTTCAGCATTTAGTTTTGCCTGTGATCTGCTAACTCTAACAACAGCACTGGCAAAATTACTGATGTCAGCAGCTCGTCTTTTCTGAGAACTACACGTAGCCTGCTCCTTTTCAAACTTAGCCAGTTTGATGAATGACATTCCCAAGAGACCAGTCGTTGCTCTAAGATCGTCATAAGCTTTAACAAATGCCTCTGCCTACAAATGATGCCATGGTAATAGATTAGCTAGTTTATTTTGCACTACTACACAGTACAGAAAACTTATGATGCATAAAATGTATCTTTCTACATGTAGCAAAATGCAAGTGTACGGGCTTCTCCAAGCAAGCACTCAGAAGTTATTCACCCTATTCATTTATCCTGTTTTTTTTCTGCCTATAGAACAAAAATGGTACCAAATACGTATTTGTAATGAGTAATGACAACAAGAGACAGAGTCCACAGCATGCAAATCAAACCTTTGCAAATATGCAGTTACCTGCTGAGATGCTGTCACCAGATGTTTCTCCAAGTCCTCAAGCTTGGCCTTGTGCACAAGGTACTTCGTGTCGATCTCCTCCTCCACTGGAGGTGGCCTTACTGCCACCCACCCATTGGTTACTGTCTGCTTCAGGTCCTTGAACACCCCAAAAAAGTCCCTCCCACTCTTCGTAGGCGTCACTGGAGCGGCAGCAGCCATGGGCGTGGCAGCACTCATCGCAGGGCTCCACCTGGGGGACTCACCGTCCGAAGTGGGGATACCGCTAGGCTCGGTGAGGAAGGCGTGGAGGACGGGGCTGCGGCCGACAACGGGGTGCGCGGCGAGGCGGCGGAGGTAGCGCTGGATCGTGACGCACCGCTGGTTCACGAAGTCGTGCCGCTGCATGACCTGCCCCTCGACGATGCTCTTGTCGGGCCTTGCCGGTACGAAGAGGCCGCGGTGTGTCTCCGCGAGGCGGTTGGCGAGCGCCACGACGTCGCGGAAGCGCCGACGCACGCGGAACTCGCCGCCGTCGGGCACCCGAGTGGCGATGAGGTAGGAGACGTAGCTGGCCGAGCCTGGAATGACGCCAACGGCTCCGGTCGCGGGCTCCGCGTGCTTCCTAGGCTCGGAGACAGTGATCTCAGCGAACCCCGGCGACGCCTCGCGGGACTTCGTCGCGGCCGCAGCGGCGTGGGGAGCCGGGGGAGGCGTGAAGTCCTCCACCCCATCCTCGTCCTCTTCGTCCAGAAACGCGCCGTGGTTCTCGCCGGCGGTAGGAGAGGAGGTGGACGAGGGGGGAGGAGGTGGGCGGACCAGGGGGTCGGTTGTGGCCGCGACACCGACACTGGAGGAGGAGTCGAGGGGTAGTGTTTCGAGGTCCTCGACGGGGTTCCCCGGGGACGAGGGCTCGGTGGCCATCATGGCCACCGCCGGCGCCCGGCGGTTTGGGTTGGGGCGAGAAATGAGATCTGGCGGGGAATCCGAGGCGGAGTCAAGTCCGGTTGGAAGGTGAGCGCCGTGATTCGCCGCGCGTACGCGTAAGCAAAAGCGAAGGCAAAACCGTTTCGTGCTATGCACTCAATGGCAGGTGGGCCAGGTCATCTCTTTCGTTTGACTTTGCAAATCGCAACGGCGTCCACACTGATCACTGATTCACAGGAACACTGGACTACTACCGTGTGTTTGGTTTGACGTGGGATGGGTTGGGATCTGACTCACTTTTGGGTTAGGTCGAACTCATCTCTTGTTTGGGTGGGAATGTTGGATCGATTCTAGTTTTGTGTTTGGTTGGGAGAATACGTGAAAGTGGGATTGGGTCATTGACATGTGGGTTCCGTTTGTTAGCGTCTGTTTCCTTCTTTCTCCTCCAGCTAAGGCCGCTCGCACGCTGCTCCTCCGCGCCGCTCGCCCAGCCCCGTCACCGACGAGCTGCTCCTCCCTACGCGTCTGCTCCTCCCTCATCCAGCCCCGTCACAGGCGAGCTGCTCCTTCCTCCGCGTCAGCTCCTCCCTTCTCCCAGCTCCGTCACTAGCCGCCGCGGATCCTGTGCCGCTCACCGCTTGGGATGCCACACGTTTGCTCCATCACCGGCCATCGCGGATCCCGCGCCGTTCGCCGCTCCAGGAGGCTCGCTGCTCGGGATCCTGCGCCGCTCGCCCAGCCCCGCGTCTGCTCCGTCACCGGCCGCCGCGGACCCCGCATCGCTTACCAGCACTGCGTCGTCGCTCACCTAGTCCCGCGTTTGCTCTGTCGCCGGTCACCGCGGATCCCGCGTCGCTCGCCAGCACCGCACCGTCGCTCGCCCAGCCCCGCACGACCCAGCTCAATCCACACGGTCCCCTCGATTTGGACGAATAGGATGAACCCGCGTCTGAGGAGAATATTCCGACCCGGGTTGATCCCATTCCACTCAACCCCCATCCAAACGTGGGTCCATAGGTTCAATCTGTTCCAACCCACCAAAACCCTCAAACCAAACATACGGCTAGAGATTGCGCTGGCTAAACAACCCAAACTGAAGTCTGAACAAGTTAGACAAGAGTGCCATAAATGAGAACATTAAACAACACGAACTTCTCAAGTTCGAACAAATTGAACAAGGGTGATCCATACACGAATGAAAATATATATAGATCCCTAGGACATTGCAACTATAAGTCTATATGACTCATTAATTCGCGAGGTTGTATTTTTAAGTATGTTACCGACTTCTTCTCTATTAATAAAGAGTATATGCCAAGCAAATTCCTTGCGCATGGCTTTTTAACAAAGTTTTCTGATTGTCCGATTAATCACGATTAATCGTTCTTATCGGCCTAGCACTCAATTAGACCGTCCGATTCGATCAGAGCGATCAGAAACCTGATCGTCCGATTAATCATCGATTACTCGCGATTAATCGTCCGATTAGGTCTCTTGGCCGATCAACACTAAATAGACAGATGAGCTGCTTCAGCTTACTGCGCTATATTTACTTAGGCCAGGCCCATTAGGTTTTCTCTTATATACCGCACCTCCACTTTTTCTCTCCCCAGTCCTCACTCCCACTCTCCAGCGGTCGGCTGTTTGTGCAGCTGGTGAGCTGCATCTCTTCCCTGCTGCATTATCTCACACCCTCCTCCCTCCCTTCCGGTTCCAATCCAAGCAGCCCGTCTCGTGGATCTTCCTTGCTGCTTCCTCCTCCCTTCTGCTGCAGAGTCGCATATTCTCTTCCCCACCTGCATAAGTTTATATAGTATAGGGTGTATATATAGTCCTACTATATGCTGGACGATTATATGGATGATTAGACTGATAAGAGGTCAATTAATCGTCCTTATCGTCGATTAATCGTCTTTATCGGTACCAGAACGATTATGGACGATAAGTCGATTTAAAAACATTGCTTTTTAAAATAAAAAAAACCATGAGGGGTCATTAAAATTGTACGTTGACGTTGTCTAGTTTTCAATTTTTTATTTTGGATGCTAGCATTAGTTTAAACAGACGGTGATCCACTCTACTAATGCAATGTGTTTATTGGTGTGTTGACATGGACCCAACATGTGGGGCTCACACCTCTTTTCTCCATCCTCTCTTCTTTTGTACCCTCTCTTATAAGCTCCTATCTCCCCCCTACATAGCTTAACGGTGATGACGAGGCTATGCTTCGCTAAAAATCTCATGTGTGGTCATCATCTGTTCCTCCCCACATCGCCTTGCACACCTCTGCCTCCATGGCCCCAGGCACCAAATCTTTGCTCAGGACTAAATTGGCGCTTCTACTCTCAACCTTGGCTGCGTTGGTGGACTGTGTTACGGTGGCAAGTGCCTTCACCAGATTTGGCGTTGGGAAAGATGGAGAAGGTGGATGTTTGAGAGCGCGAAGAGCAACATTGACATGTGGGTCCCACACATACGAAACCACGGTGCCACATCAGCGCATGGAGGAAGTTAGAGCCTCTTTAGACCTATGCTAGCATCCGGGACAAGTTTATGGACCTAGATGAAATTTTTATACATGTTTTAGACCCATATATCAATGTTCAATAGTTGAGGATTTAATGACATTGGCATACAAGTTTGGGAACTTAAATTTTAAAATTCTAATGTTAGGACTCAGATAACACCGCCGTCCAAGTCCAAAGACAGCTCGTGACTTTTACTCACAAATAAATCTGCATAACAGTTACCCTAATGCAGGCTTGAGCATACTTCACAAATAAATCAGCACAACAGTTACCCTACTTGCAGGCCTGCAACATGCTTTAAGCAGAAGGGTCATCTGCGTCCAAAGTCCACAATAGGTATCCTAAAGTGCATTTGTATTTGCAGAAAACGAAAGCATGAGCGTATCCAACCTTGACCAAAAAAAAGTCCAATGCATATTCTGGACATGGTCAGTCCACTCCAACCTCCAAAGCAGCTCTGCCGTAGAAAAGAAAATTGAAACACATGGAGCATGGGTCGTAGAGCTGACAGCAATCACCAAATGGCAATTCCAGGAATGAAAATGATTGAATGGATGGATGCCCAACTACCTGAATGCAAATTCTGATCAGAGCGATAGGAACTTTGCAAAGGGACCGTGGTGGTTGGTTCATGACAATTTGTTGTTCCCACCTGCCATTCCTACCGGCTCACTGGACATGTCTTGTGATGCATCGCTGGGGGGCCGTGGCCGCCGGAAAGGCCCGGATTCGCCAGGTTGCCAGCCTACCTCATGCATGGTTGGGCGGTCAAGGACGGCGAAATGCTGCACAGCTGGGGTCCGAAGAACACTCTGCTTTTCTTATGTTATTCAGAGTTCAGTGTTCGCATCCAAATGTCAACTGCTGAGGCAAAAGCTAGCGTTATCTCTTCTATTTGATCTTCTTGCAAATTCAGGACCAGTGCATTTCAGAGTCTCAACTTTCAAATGACAGCAGGACGCATCCCATTTTCATCAATGGTCAGATGCAGAAAAAAAAGGGGGGCAGGAAGAAGAAAGAAACTGCTTTCCTGATTTGTTTATGGATGAACGGTTCGTTTCATGAGTACTGATCGATCTGCTGCAAGCATAACCTTAGCTTCCAAGTTCACCATTTCATAGTTGTCCAAAAAAAAGTTTCGCTGTTTTCTAAAAGGAAAGGAAAATGAAAGCCAGAAACGTGGCATCTAGAATATATTGCACAGAGCAATCGGATTTGGTGCCATCGTTTCTGTCAAAAGATTGTTTCCGAAGATTTGTTGGAACAAATATTGACACTCGCTGCAATATTGGCTACCAAATCCACCTCCTCGCATCAAAAAGTCAGTTAAAGTTTTCCAGATGGGCCAGGCCCGCTGGGCTGACACGGGCACGGCCCAAGCACGGCCCGGCCCGCATGGCCCCATTCCCGTGCCTGGCACGGCCCGCACCTGTGCCCGTGCCTGGGCCTTGAGTTCGGCCCATGGGCCAGCACGGGCACGGCACAGAAAAGCGGCCTGGCCCGGCATTGGCACGGCCTGATGAACGCCAGCCGTTGGATCAGGAACCCTAAATGATTCTAACCATTGGATCCGACCGTTGGAACGCGGTGTATATAAGCCGCCCGCCCTCTCTCTCTCCTCTCCCACCCGAAGGCGAAAGGTCAAAACCTACTTCATTTCCCACTCCCACGCGGTCTCTCGCTTATATCCGTCACCGTGGCGAACGGCGACTCCTAGGGGCGAGGGCGACGGCGGCTCGCCGTCGTCCCCTCCTCTACGTCTCGCCCTCCGGCGGCTCCTGAGCCGGAGCTACGAAGATCTAGGTAGGATACCCACCTCTACTTCTTCTCGCCATCCCGCAGCTCCCCGTTCATCTTGCTTCTTCGTCTTGATTCTTCTCTAACTTGTGTGTTTTGTTCTCTGAGATCCGGCCGATCCATTCTTTGCTTTCGAGGAGTCGGAGCTCTTCTCGTCGCCCGGCGGATCGGGAGGTAAGAAACCCTAACCCTAGATCTGGTCTCACTTCTTCTTCTTCTCCGTTCCGATTGTTGTCGGTGCGGGACCCACAGAGATACCCTTAAGGAAGAGAGAAGATCTAGTCTAACTAGGATTCTCCCATGTAATCTTCTTAGTATTATTATTATTTTGTAATCCTACTAGGAACTCTCATTGTAAACCGACTAGGAATCGACCTCCCGACTATATAAAGGAGGGCGGGGTTCCTAGAGAAGGAGATCGTGGATTTCTACAACACAATCAATCCAACGCAAAGGCTAACGCCGATCGGGCGTAGGGTCACATTAGACCACGATCGAGGGCCTCGAACCAGATAAATCGATCGTCTCTTTATGTTCACCATCGAGTTCCGCATCTGTTGAAGCTCGAATAATATCGCCTCGGGGACCCCGTGGCGAGCTATCGATGGTGAACATCGACAACAAGCGCGCGCGCCGGTAGGGGCTTTTCGGCGAATTTGCATCCGAGAGCTCGAT